CTCCTCCTCCTCCTCCTCCTTTGACCCCATCTGGGAGGCCTAGACAGCCCCTCGAACTCACCGGCGAAGTCAGTGATGGCCACGACCTCGAAACTCGGGGCCCGAGCGCCGACAGGCGACGCCGCCGCGTGCTCAGCGCAGACCGCGCCCAGGCACCACGCGCCCCTCGAGGCGCTGTACTGCAGGCGCCCTGGAGGGCCGGACAGCACGCCCTCCTTTGGCGGCGCACAGCAGAAGCCTCCTCCGTCTCAGTTCTATCGCTGCTGACGCGAAGGGTGATCCACTCCTCCTCCTCCTCCTCCTCCTCTCCTCCTCCCCCTCCTCCTCCTCCTCCTAGAGGGGGCGGAGTAGATGGGGTCGAAGGATCGCGCCGCATCCGAGGTAGCGGCGATGCGGCGGCGATGCATCGGCGACGTCGGCGATGCATCGGCGACTTCGGCGTGGGGAATCACGGGCTCTACATCGAACCGCATCGTCGATGCATCGGCGATGCGGCGCGATCCTCTGACCCCGTCTGTTCGGACTCCATCTAGGAGTTCTAGACCCAAGGGGGGTGGCGCAAGGAGGGCGGCCTTCTACGGCAAGTCCGCGCGGAGTCGGCGCGCGCAAAGATTTTTGACACCGCGTAGATTGTTCAATCAACCCCGAATCGATCGCGGCCCCGATCGTTCAAGGCTGAATTCAATCGGGTCCAATGCCGTGTCCATCGGTGCTTCCGCGTCGCAGAATTCAACCTTGAACGCCCTCGCTGGCGTCACCGGCGCGTCAACGCCGCATGAACCTGCCGTAAGAAGGCGGCGAGGCTTCCACGAAGGCAGGGGGCGCCTCTAGGAAGGTTCTCTTAGAAGCCGAGCCGGCTTCTGAGAAGCCCACCTGCCTCCTTGGAAGCCTCGCCGCCCTCTCAGAAGCCCACCACCACCCCGCGCAACCCCTGTTGTGGGCACCGCCAGTTCCTGCTCGTAGACGGCCCGGCCAGTTGCGTCCGTGTCCACGGGGCAGTACTTGCCTGAAGGGGCCCCAGGACACACAAATAAATACACACAAATAAAAGCATTCCCCATATTTTCCTATATTTTCAGGGTTTCTGTCTTCCCCCCCCATTTCCCATATTTTCCCATATTTTCTCGGGAATCCAGGATTAATTGTGTCTGTGTGTTTCTTTTCCTCCTGATTGCCCTCGTCCGCCGCTGCGGCGCTCATGTCCGTCCCGAGCGGCTCCAGGACGGTCGGGACGTCGCCGTCCTCTCCGTGAGTCGTGCTGCCCCGCCACTTCCCGAGGATGCCAGAAAGCTCGCGGGCAGAGAACAGCTGCGAGATGGAGCGCGGGTCGCAGGGCTCGAGCGCCAATTCCATTTGGAATTCCCCAGCCTTTCCCGTCAAGCAGCGGTTGTTCTGGCCCACTACCTGAACCAGCCTGCTTTCCGATGGCGAAGCCGGAGAGTCCTTGAACAGGAACTGAAAGCACTGGGTTTCCTGCGTCAGCGTGACCGCATCTGGGCCGCTTCCTGACTCATTCGAGGCGAGGCAGAGACGCGCGCTGGCGTTGACAGAGTCGGAGTACATCTGTGTCTTGATCCGCCTGAGCCACATGAGCTCCTGCTTGTCCTGCTGCTGGCGGTCGCTGTAGCCTGGAGCCGCCACCTGGACGCAGGCCCTGCACTGGAAGTCCCGCAGGCCGGGGCGGCCCGTGGCCCTGTCAAACCACTCGCCGTTGACGCACTGGAGCTCGGCCGATGCCGCAGCCTTCCCGTCCGAGGTGGCGCCCGCGAAGCGCTCCGCCCAGCAGGACACGCCCAGCTCCTCCCCGTGCTGAAACCCCGAGGGGAGCTGGCGCTTGTGGGCCCACTGGTGCGAGGCCGGGTCGGCGTACGCCGGGCGGGAGCACGACTCCACCCCGTCGCCGCCCAAGAGCAGCGCCTGGTCGCACTCCCGGTAGAGGCGCAAGTAGTGGAATGCTGGCACCTTGTAGCCTGCAGACTTTACACACCTCGCGCTCTTCGTCCGCAGGAGCTCGAAGCCGCGGTCGCAGCTGGCGCACTGCTCCGCGCCGTGCCTGGAGCACTGGACGCCCACCGCGCCCGTCCCATTGCTGCACGTGCACTCCTTCGCGGCGCAGACACCATTCGCCAGGTAGTACCCCTCCCAGCTGTTGCACCTCGCACAGAAGTGCCCGCCGGGGCACTCCGCTCCAGGGGCTGGCGCGACGCCGTGGTCGCAGAAGCAGGCCTTCACCGTCACCTGACCCGACGCCTCGGCAGCCGCAGCTTGTGCCCTGGGCTCGCTCCGCTGGGCCCTGGATGGGTGCGCCGCGAGTTGGGCCTTCTGAGCCTCCCACGCTTCCATCGCCAGCTCGCCGGCGCAGTCCGAGCAGCCCCTGCACTTCATCCACTTGCACTTGAAGTCCCACACGTCCGTGTGATCCGCGCACCACGAACTACACTGAAAAGCTTCCTTCGTCTCTGGAGGTGCCAGCGTCTCTGGCGCTGGCACAAGCACTGGCTCCGGCACGACCGGCGCCGGCGCTGGCGTCGACACGACAGTGACGTTGCGCTGCTCGATGGTGAGGTTGTACATGGCGCCTGGAGGCAGCTTCTTGCACTCCCCGATGTGCCCGATGTACCCAAGAGGACAAGTGGTGCACTTGAGCGGAGTGCTGGTTCCTTTGGTCCGGCGACGCGTTCCAAAATTGCACTCGTAACACTCATCGACACTGTTGTCTGTCTTGTACGTCCCCGCAGGACAATCCGTGCAAGACCTTCCAGAGAGCGATAGAGAACGGCGCCTGACCTTTGTTGACGAACGAGCAACACACACCCATACCCATAGGGAGGTCGTTGGGAGGAGGACTGGCTATGGGTATGGGGTATGGGTGCGGGTTGTCGGACCCTGGGGAACGCTCCCGTTCGAGCGGGGACCCCCATCCGACAACACGCACCCATAGCCCTCACCGACCCCTCTATGGGTATGGGTGTGTGTTGTTGGTTCGTCACTTTGTCGGCCCTGGAAACGGCAGGGCCGTTTTTCACCGTTTCCAGAAGAATGTCCCTTGAAAATGAAGACGGCAAAAAAACGGCGACCAGAAACGGCAAAAAAACAGCTCCAGGATTGGAACCAGAGCCGGCACCGGTCAAAGAACGGCGACGGAACCGGTAAAAAACGGCGTCGGAGCCGGCAAAAAAACGAAAAAACGGAGCCGGTAAAAACACGGCCCTGTCGTTTCCAGGGCCCACTAAGCGCCTGACCTGTCCATACGAGCAAACGTCGCAGTCATCGGAGCCCGGCCCACCAGTCGAGCCCGCTCCGCAGTGCGTGCAGCTGGTCGCCCTCCTCCGCCTCGTGTTCCCATAGCACGCCATGCAGCCCTGCTCGGGATGCTCCCAGTAGCCAGGCTCGCAGCCTTTCTTTTCGCAGACGCAGATTTTGCTCTGGAGCGTGGCGTCACAGAACGCGGCCGTCATCGGGGCCCCCCATTTCGCATCGGGCTGCGTCTTGAAGCCGCAACCCGCGCCGTCATGCTCCACAGCTGCGACGCAGGTGCTGCTGCGGTTCTCGCAGTAGCTCCTGCAGGTCTCCCCGCCGGTCTTGACCTGGAAGGCGCAGTTGCCCCCGGCCCAGTCCAGACCGTCGCAGACCCGCTCATAGCCGGAGAACTTCTGGCAATTCCGCACCGCGGGAGTGGGCGTTGGAGTTGCTGCTCTGGGAAACTGCCCACAGACGGCCCAGAGCTTCGCGCCCACGCCAGTGCTGTCGACGGCACTGCGCCTCTCGCCCGCGAGCTTCGGCACCTCCAGGATGCACTCGCCGTTGGCGGGCGAGAACTCCGTGGACGGCCCGCACGTGTTGTTCGCACCCCACTTGGTCTCGCACATGCAGGAGGTAGCCTTGCCTGTCTCGCACTTGGCGACCAGGGTCGCGAAGTCCTCGTAGAGAGGAGAGCTCACCACGCCGACGGTGTTCGCCCACCTGTGGCAGAAGGCCCTCGCCCTGATCGGCGCACCATCCGCGAGGGCTTGGCACCCAGACCCGTCCTTCGAGTAGGAGCTCAGATACAGAATTGAAAACTGATTTGCCCCAAAATTGACTTGTTCGTCGAATCGCCGAAGTAGCAGTCCACAAACGCTTTGTTTTCTCTTTTCTAGGTGCGCCAAAAAAAAAAAAAAAAAAAAAAAAAAAAAAAAAAAAAAAAAAAAAAAAAAAACGGCAAATCGGTTCTGCAGCTGATCCCCTACTCGAGTCCTCCAGCGGTCGCACGCCGTTCCCCGCGTTGGCGGGAACCGACTCGCACTTCTGCACCCACGTGTCCGGTGGGCAGGTTGCGGTTGCAATCTCCGAGCCTGCGCTTTCCACCACCGACGGCGCCTGGCAGGGCTGAACCTGCACGGTGGTTTTCGATCTCGTTCTGCTCTCGTCTTCCCTCGCTTTGTCTCCAATCCGCCTTTTCACCGCAGAACGAAATTAAAGGGAAATTAGGACACACAAATAAATACACACAAATAAAAATAATCCCCATATTTTCCCATATTTTCTGGGTTTCTGTCTTCCCCCCCAATTCCCATATTTTCCCATATTTTCCTGGGGATCGAGGATTAATTGTGTCTGTGTGTTTTTTTCCCTCCTGAGAAATCGGAACGAAGACGGCCCACGAAGTCGCCAAAACACCGTTTGGGTCCAGCCCCAGACAGACGGACAGACACTCCCGCGCGCTGGCACCCACCAGGGTGCAGCGGGTGGTGGCGCCGGAGCGCCGTTCCGCGTGGCGCTCTTCACAATATTAAAAAACCTTGGAAGAGGAGGAGGAGGAGGAGGAGGACGACGACGACGACGACGATTGGGCGCACAGAGACATACTAATACTATATGCCCGCCTTGGAGGCGCGCGTCCGACCCGAACATATAGTATACCCATCTTGTAGTATATCGTTTCTCGAGCGGTGTGGCCAGAAAGCGCCCGCCACGACGCATATACTACGACGCCCGAGACGAGGCGGGGGGAAATAGGTGCTAGCCGCATGGGTCCAGCCCTGGGCGCCTGGAAGTGGAACACGCTGCCCGAGGCGTTGCCGCCGCAGGCGGACAGCACGACCCTGTTGCCGCTCTGCACGGGGCTGCCGGCGCTGAGGCAGAGCGTCTCGTTGGCGGCTGGACGGATGGAGCCGTCCTGCCACCTGTGCTTGTGGATGCCACGACAATGGACACCCCTTAGTGGGCCCCGGAAACGGCAGGGCCGACTTTTTTCGTTTCCGAAAAAATGTCCCTTGAAAATGGAAACAGCAAATCAACGGCGACCGGAAACGGCAACAAAAACGGCTCCAGGATTGGAACAGGAGCGGAAACCCGTAAAAGAACGGCGACGGAACCGGTAAAAAAACGGCATCGGAACCGGCAAAAAAACGGCAAAACGGAACCGGTAAAAAAACGGCCCTGTCGTTTCCAGGGCCCACTAAGGGACACCCTAACAGTCCTCTCATTGAATATAAAATGTGTTTTAAATGTAGGAAAATGTTCTAAACATGTTGTTTAACACATGTCTGCTACATGGTTAAAACATGTTTAACACATGTTTTAGACATCTGGAAATTATTTGGCAACATGCTTCCTCTCCATTGATCGTCCCCCACAGGCCTGTACGCAAACTTCTGCTCGAGTGTCCCCGCGCACGAGTGCAGCTTGATCTCGGCGCCGAGGCTGAGCGAGCTCCCCCAGGCAGCGAAGCAGAGCTCCGGAGCCGACAGCACCCGGATCGACTGAGTCTCGTCGTGGTAGAAGAAGTTCTCGTTCTTGGTGCCCTCGCACGCGTCGTAGATCCGGATCTCTGTTCCTTGCTTGATGTCTCCCCCCCACACGTTGAAGCAATAGGCTGGGCTGGGCTTAGCGACCCGGATGGAGTAATCCACCGACCCCTTGGGTCTCAAGTGGCTTGAGATTCCTCTACTCATAGTCCCCCCACTTGGCACAAAAATGCGGGGAGGACGACCGTTGCGCTGCCTCCACCTCCCAGTGAGGTCCCCGAGCCCTGCAAGAGGGCCACAAACGGCCAGAAGAAGCCTTCACAATGGCCCAAGAGACCTCAAAGAGCGACCAGGAGGCCCCAAGACTGCCAAAGATGACAGCAAGAAGGCCCATGAGGCGCCCAAGACGCCCGAAAAGAACCCCTAAAGAGCCTCCGAGACGGCAGAGGCAAAATGCATGACTTTCTCAAGTTAGCCCCAAGACGGCCCCACGCCTCTTCCCCCAAGATAGGCCCAGGAGGCCCCTACGGGCCGAAAAGACGACTCCGAGAGGCCCCAAAAGGATCCCAAAAGGCCTCCACGAAGCATCCAAGAGGCCCTGAGAGGCATCCAAGAGGTCCCAAGAGCCCTCGCCTAGGTCCCAAAAGGCCCCCAAGCAACCTTCAAGACGACAGTCCTGCTTGGTAGACCAGTTCGGCCGACGAGTGGGGCAAACTAGCCAACCCGCACTTACGCGTTCCGAACGTGCACCCCGCGAAGCGAATAGAATCCATGTCTGGATGCGAAGCGGGGACGGAGGCAGATCTGGTTGACCGACGAATGCGTGTTGGTCCGTGTCCAAGTACACAGCTGCTACATCTAATGTTTTAGCACGTTGTGTTATTCCAGATTCGTATGTAACCCTCCGTTGGCCCCCCGCCCCCTGCGCCACGCCAGTCGTCCAACCCTCTGTCCAAGGTGCCCCCCCTTTTCCTGGGCCCCGGCAAGCGGGGAAAATCTCGGAAGGCCTCAAGCAGACTCCAAATGGTCTCCAGACGGCCCACGACGTCCCCAAAACGGACCAAGATGGCCTCTGCAGGGCCCAAGAGGCGCCCGAAACGGCTCAAGAGGGCCCCAAGACAGCCCCATCGAGGGCCTCTAGAGGCCAAAATCACGAATGATACTAACATGTTGAAGCGCTTCGGCCGCCCAAGAGGCCGCCAAGCTGGCCCCAAGATGGCCGCAGAGAGACTCTCAACAAGACGGCCGAGGAGGCCCCGAAAGCGGGACCTAGGACGGCTCGAGAGCCCCACGAGGCCCTCAAGAGGACGCCTCCAAGAGGACCTCAAGAGGGCCCCTCCAAAAGGGCCCAAGCCCTCAGAGGCCTCAAGACGGCCAAGGAGATCCCCAAGAGGCCCGTAAGAGACCACTACTAGAGGGCCCCAAATGCCCTCTACTGCAGAGGCCCCAAGAGGCTCGCGGTGGCTTCAAAAAGCGCCGAAGACGCCTCCCGAGGCCGCCAAAGGACCTTCAAGAAGCCCCGCATCAGACCCCAAGAGATCGCATCTGCGCCCCGCGAAGCGAGAGGAATCGACGGCCGCCTGGTAGTCTTGCTTGCAGCGGGCGCCCCTCGCGTCGTACCCGTGGATGTAGCCGTGCTCGCCCCGAGGGTTCTCCTGCCAGGCGCTTCCCTGAGACAGGTTCTTGCACCCAGACCTGCAGCCCTCGACCATGCAATTGCCGCTGCTCTTCTGGCACAGCGGGAAGTGAGCCGGGCACCGGCCCTGGAGGAGGTAGTGGCGGCCGTAGGTGCCGTGGGCCTGAGCGTCGCGAGCGGCGTCGTGCGCGGCTGGCGTCTGCTGCTGCTGCTGCTGCTGCTGCTGCTGCTGCTGCTTCTTCGTCTTCTTCGGGTGCGATGCGGTCGACGCTTCTGCAGCAGCAGAGGCGAGGGCGCCGTGCACCCCGCGATGCACCGCGGCGTCCCCGGACGCGTTCGCCAGGGCGTCGTGGGCGTGCGGGAGCTCCGTCGGGTTCTTCTTCTTCTTCTTCGTGTGCGACTCGGCCGACGCCTCTGCAGCGGGGGACGAGGGCGTGCTGCGCACCTTCTGAGACTTGTGCTTGCCTGCGCTCGTGCTCGTCACCGAGGCAACACTCTTGGCTTTCTTCTTCAGCACAGTCGTCTTCGCACCATTCACTGGAGGGGCAGCGATCGCCATCGAGGCAACACTTCTTGTGTTGTTATGTTCGTTATGATGCTTGCTCTTCGGGAGAGCGGTCTTCGTGGCATGCGCTGCCGAGCTTGTCTTCAGATGGGCTCCGCTGCTGCCTGCACCCGCCCCTGCTGCCACTCGGCGTGAAGCATGAACGCCCCCGTCGTGACCAATCGAGCTGACGGCACTGGCCACCTGCAACAGAGACGACCCCTGCGGCAGGCCTCGCGACACCCCGCCATCCAGCATCGTCTGGTTCGCTGCCAGGTTGTCGCAGACACACAGCAGATCCTCGCGGGGCACGTCACAGTACGACCTCGTCCTCGGAAACGGACCCTCGGCGGCTCCGGGCTCAGAGGCCCTGCAGCTGCCGACGTGCGCGGCAGCTGCCACGCAGATGCTGCCGTGCTCTGCGCAGTACCCTGAGCAAGTCCTGCCGCTCGAAGGGACGTGGAAGGCGCACTTGCTGCCGGCCCACTCCAGACCAGGGCAGATCTTCTCGTAACCGCTGAAGTCTTTGCAGCCCTGGTCCTGCACCGGGCCCAGAATCGCACGGGGGAGGTGAGGGGACGGGCTCAGCAGATGGGGGGCGGCGTGGGCTCACCCGAGGGAGGCTCGGGTGGACAATCTCCCTTGGAGCTGCTGCAGGCTACAATGCGGAGGCGGCCGCAAGACATCCTCGCGAAGACCTCCAACTCCGAAAACCCGCGCGCGAGGTCAGTTGGGGGGCGGGGAGACCCGAGGCACCCGGAAGGCATCAGCTTCTCGTCGCCCGCGGGAAGTCACCACGCAACGCGCCCGGGACAGAAACTCGGGGCACCCTGACCAAACGCCTCTGGCTTCTTGATGCGCGTCCCTTCGAGGGTGGACAGACCCCCTTTAGTGACGTGGTTCAGTGAAAACGACCCGAGGCCCAAACCTGGCGGGCGCAAGCCTGGAAAATAACGGCCACGGCGCCCTCTCGAGAACCGAAAACGGACAATTCACTAATCGACGTGTCACTGTTGCTGAGGTATGAAAAAACGACCCTACCCTGGGTGGTTACAAGTGCGTGGTCTGTAAACCTCCTGGGAGCCCCCAAAGCCTCGAGCCGCCAGGACGCGGCACATCACGCAGGGCTTACCCTGTCAGCCCTCAGGAGTTTCAGTGCACAGCGCCTCGTAAACCAAGGCAGGGGCGTTTTTTATGCCTTTGATGTTGGGGGCTCTGTCCACCCCCGGCCCCTGCTGTAGCCCACCAAGAGCCCTCCGCAGGCCGCCAGGACGGCCCGAGGGAACGCCTCCGGGCCAACGCACGGAGGCCCCCTCGGAGACGACGCGCCCGGCCCCGGGAGGCCCCAAGCAGCACGCCAGAGACCTCCCAGAAAACGGCCCCGAGATCATCCGAGAGAGCCCCGGACAGCCCCAATCACATCCAGGTTCATTGTTTTCTGAGTCCTGTATAATATAATATACAATATACAATCTACAATATACAATATACAATATACAATATATATATATATATATATATATATGTGTGTGTGTGTAGTCTTCTATGTGTGTGTAGTCTTCTACGGCAGGCTCGTGTCCTGACGCCTGGCACGCCGATTTCTCAGACGGCGTGGATCGTTCCGCCTTGCACGACCGCGGCCCTCTGCTGGCACGGATCCTTCGACCCTCGGCGGCCGCGAGGGCCGCCCCCACGGCACGCCCGCGGCGGAGGCCGCCGCCGCGCCGCCCGAGGCACGAACGCCCACGGCGCGCGCGCTGCGGCCGCAGAGTAAAGGGGCCCCAGGACGCACAAATAACCACACATAAATACACACAAACAAGAATACTCCCCATATTTTCCCACATTTTCTGCGTCTTTGTCTTCCCCCCCACCTCCCATATTTTCCCATATGTTCTGGGAAATCGACGATTAAATTGTGTCTGTGTGTTTTTTCCCCTCCTGAGCAGAGGGCCTCCAGAGAGCTCAAACAGAGCCGGGCGACGGCGCGAGGGAACGGCAGCACGGCTGCGAGCACAGCTCGCGACGGCGGCGAGAGGACCGAGCAGGACTCCCGCGGGGCGCCAAGACGGCGCGTGGGGGCCCTGCGGGGCCTCCCAAGACAGCCCGGGCGCATCCCACGAGGAACCCAGGAGGGCCGAAGACGCCTCAGGGGCGGTCGAAGATCTGCCCCATCCCCCTCCTCCTATTGCCCTTCTCTCTCCGGGGCGAGCAGCGCTTCCGACTGCCGTCAGGCAGCAGGCGACTGATGTTCGGACCGTACAGCGGAATGCCGCGTGAGCTACGTCATCGGGCGAGCAGCAGCTCGCCGGCCTTCTCGCGGTGCGGAGGGCGGGCTGCGCCGTCCTCGTGCTCGCTTTTTGGATATCCATTGTTTGCTCGATCGGCGCGGGCCCCCAGAGATCCAACGCATTGAAAAAATCAGGACGGAGGTTTTCCGCAGAGCTCGGCCCCTAGGGGCCCTCGCCGGGCCTCGGGACCGTCAAAAAAAGCGGATCAAGATGAAAAACTGGTCCTGGGGAATGGGTCGATACTTCCAGGAACCCCGTATTGAAAAAAACACGACATAGGATCTCAGGGCCCATGGAGAAGATCTTGGCTGTTTGGGGCGCCTGTTTCGAGCAGGCGGAGTCTCCCCCCTAATGGGCGCACTGTTCCAAACAGCCGCACCAAGCAGAGGTCTGGAGCCAGACCCCCCCCCTTCCCCCCACCCCTTCCGCCCAATGTCGAGACGCCGAATAAAAAAAACGGTGACCTCCTCATTGTGCGCAGCGCAGAAGTACGCGATGACTCCTCCTCTGGAAGGCTTTTTGGCCTGGGGGGGGGTCCACGGTGAGGCTCCACGACACCGCCTGCGAGAAAACCTCGCTGGGGCCCCCCAGAGGCCTGGCGCTTAGGACAAGAATGATCCCCCCCCGCGCGCTCTCCTTCTCGTTGCCTGTAGGCTCTGATGCCAGGGCCGTCACGAGACTGTCGGCACACGAAATCGTGGGCGAGGCTCTCGGCGCTCCTCACCCAGAGAAGCCCTGGAGCCTCCGCGAGTCCCCAGGGAGCATACAGGGCGAGCTCCAGGGAGCCGCAGGGGCTCGCCGGATGCGCCAGGAGAAGCCAGGAAGCCCTGGAGAGCCCCAAGGAACCCTGAAGGCCCCAGCGAACCTCAGGGAGCCCCACAGAAATAGCCCTCGGAAGCCACAGGGAGCCCCAGGAAACCCCAGGAAAGCAAAGGGGAGCCCCAGGCAACCCCAATGAAGCTGAGGAAACACCAGGAGGCCCCAGGAAACCATCAGGGAATCCCCGGAATCTCCAGAAACTCCACGAAGCACCAGTAGAGCCCCAAGAAACTCTGGGAAGCCCCACGGAATCGCACGGAATCGCAGGGAGTTTCAAGAGGCACCACAAAGCCCCAGTGAGCAACGGGAGGCATGAGGAACCCCAAGGAACCACGGGAGACCCCCAGGAGCCCCAGTGAGCCCCACAGAACCCCGGCGAGCCTCGGGAAGCCTGGGGAACCACGCAGGAGTGGCCCTTGGGAGCCCCAAGGAACGCCAGGAAACCACAGGAAACCAAAGGGAACCCCATGGAGCCCCAGGGAACCCCATGAAAGGCCAGGGAGCTCCACAAGGGGCACAGATAGCCCCAGGAAGCCACACGAAATGCGACGCCGTTTCGACGCCGCCAGACGAGCCGCGTGGAACCTTGAAGGGGAGCTTGATAGTTCCCGAAAAATCCCAAAGAACCCCGCGGAATCCTTGAAAATCCCGGGGAATCAACAAGAACCATGGGTAACCAAAAAAACCGTGAAGAGCGTCGGAACCCTCTGACATTCCGAAGGGCCGCGAGGAATCCTCAGGACCCTGCGGGATCCGGGAAAATCCTGACGCAGCCCAGAAGGCCCCTATGAAGCCATCACACGAGATCGCTTGGTGGTCGCGCAGCGGAACGCCAGCAGATGCAACGCAGCTGCGAAGCCACCAAAGGAACCGCGTACAGCTTGAAGTACCATGAGAGACCGCTCAGAAAGCCGATGCTCCTGGAGCGCCCGAACAACCGCGACGCGGCCTGAACGGCCCCGAGAAAGCGCTTCAACTTCTCATGCAGACCCCCACACCCCACCACCATCCCCACCCACACCCCACCCCGCACAACTACCCACTCACCCACTCACCGCGCGGTAGCCGCGTAGCGATACGCCCGCATACACGACGCGGTCGCGACGCATCCGCAGGATCGGCCGCTCGCACGCGCGCGCCCATGTCGCGCAGCTAGGCGCCATCCTGTTCGCGGATCGAGACCACACCGCCGCAAGACCATTCAAAGATCACCGCCGATGCGACGCGCAATCCTCCCCCGCGCGCTCGAGCGCTGCCAGATCGCGCACAAGAAAAGCTCGGCGACGCGCGCCAGCCCCCGCAAGGAGGCCGCGCCCCGAGACCGTCGGCGACGCGCTTTCCCGAGGGGGCTCGAAGAAGACCTCAACCAAACTCTTCATCAACACCGCCACATCGCCACCCCGCGCGGCGGCCACGCAGCGGGGCGCCGGCCGATGCAACGCAGCTGCGACGCCGCCAGGGGAAACGCGCGCGGAACTTGAAATAATCATAGCATACCACGGGGGGGCCGATGCCTCTTCAGCTCGCGCATGCTCCCCCCCTCAAGCCCCCGCGACGCATTCGCGTAGCGAGACGCATGCATGCGAGGCGCGGTCGCGGCGCACGCGCAGAGACATCCGCGCGCACGCGCGCGCCCACTTGCGCGGAGGCGCAATCCTGCTCGCGGGAAGGAGCCACGGCGCCGAACTATCACTCCGAGGCCACCACCGACGCGACGCGCAATCCTCCCCCGCGCTTTCGGGCGCCGCCAACTCGCGCAAGGAAGCCGCGCGGCGCCGCGCGCCGACCCCCGCGCGGAAGCCACGCTCCGAGTTCGTCGCCCACGCGACGCGCGAGCCCCCCCCTGCGCGCGCGAGCGCCACCCAGTCGCGAAAAAAACCTGGCCGGCGCCGGGCGCCGACTGCGGCGCGAAAACCGCGCGCTGAGACTGCGGCCAACGCGACGCGCGGGCCCCTCCCCGCGAGCTCGAGCGCCGCTCGGCCGGGCGAACGCCAGCGCGAGAAATCCCGCTCCGAGACTTTCGCCGTCGCGGCGCAACTGCCTCGCCGCGCACGGCGCGGCGCGCGCGCGGCCAATAATCTGTCGCGAACCAGCCGCGCTATATATGAATGGCAGAGCGGGCCCTCGAGCATCGCGAGACCCCCGCGCGAAGCGCCAACCCCTTCGCGGACCGAGACGCCCGGAAAACGCAGCCCAAGACACCCGCCGACGCGACGCGCGAGGTCTTCCCAGAGCGCCGGAGCGCCGCCCAGTCGCGCGAGGAAACTAACTGGCAGCGCGAACCAAACCCATTGCGGAAAATCGCGTTCCGCGGCCGCCGCGGTCGACTCCTGACCAGTCGCGCAGCGACGCGTGATCTTTCAATCGCGGCGCGAGACCCCGACGCTCATTGCCGCGCGGCGAAGTCCACGCAGACGCGACGAATGTCAT